GTCATCGTCTTGTACTTGCAAAAGTCGCACGACTTTTCCGTGTCGCGCGCCAGCTGCTCGGCAAACGCGCGGGGATCCGTGTCGCTGCTCAGCCCCGGGCGTTTCGAGCGCAGCTTGCTGAACAGCGTGCTCTCGTGCGTGTAGCGGTTGAAGATCGAGAAGACCACTTGCCGCTTGAGTTCGGCCAGCAGCGCGGCGTCGTGCTTCAGCCACCCGCTGATCTTGGCGCGGAACTCTGGGCCGACGTTGACTGCGCCCACGCGAGATTCTACTTGGTACATGTCTTGGAACTGGCTCAGTAGCTGCTGGCATAGCGCGTCCGGCGAGCGGGACCAGTTAGCGAGCAGCTCGCTCAGCTCGTAGAAGCTCGGCTGGCGTTGGAGGTTGAAGCAGCGGTACCAGTGCACTTCGTGAGACCGGTACTGTGTGGAGCTGTACACGGGCAGGTCCATGCGACGCAGGCTCAGTGGCAGGGGAGTCATCACAGCCACGATCAAGATGATAGCCAACAGCAGAGTCAGCACGCTGCAGCTGCGGCTCTGCAAGAACTTGGGACGGTCGCGAGGCTTGGCGTAGTCCATATTCGGCGTCGAAATCGGATCGGCAACGATAACACAAAGAACTAGGCAAGTTCTCTAACTACGACATGCTATGCTCAAAGCTACATGCAGTCTAGAGCCTGTACTGCCCACAGTTGTACGCTTGCAGTGCGCTAGCTTATCGTTCAACCACTATGACACCAGTACTGAGTTCTAGCAGCAGACGTTCTGCACTTGGCTCATGGAGACTGCCCACTACAGAGCCGTGACAATTATGTCTTTACTAGGCTGATACAAGTGCGCACGCTGTATTCTGAGCAGGCTTGCTTGTCCACCAATCACCGCACGTTGTCCGTCCAACGCGGGGCTACAAGCTGGTCCGTACACACAGGCCACTGGAGCACAACAATTAATTCCACAATAATTGCGTGTAGTCGAGTTTGATGCTCAGAGCGACCGCTAGCTTTCTGGCTAGCCAAAGCAGCAGCTGATGCGCTTGCTTCACTGGCGGTGCCCCGAAGCCAAAATCTACGGAGTGGAGTTGAGCGCCGCTGCTGAGCGAAGTAGTCTTCACGAACTTGCCAGCATGAGCTAGGGGATGAACACAGAATGCAAGTGTTTCAAATTCACGCAGGAAAAAGGAAAAGCGAGCTGAGTGACTCAGTGCGCGCTCGCCTGAAATGATTTTTGTTAGCACTAAAACGCTGACTGCAAGCTAGGGGAAATACTGCTCAAGTAACGGCAAATGCATCTGCAGTGCAGCAGACGTAACAAGCAGACCGGGCTACGACGTCTTTCAGTATTTCTGCACTATTACAAAATAATTATTAGTGCGCTGAAGACGTGCTACTAATGTAATGAAAACCGCTAACTCCACAGGTGGACTACTGTCGTGCTCTGTAGGGACTAGTTGGGCACGCTACGCTACGCTACAGATCAGAGGATCTAGCCTTCTAGGAGTTCAGTGCAGCCTTTTTATCTCGTGATGCCATTAGAATAAATTATTACCGGTATGTATGTTCAAACAATTCACACAAGAGTGAACATGACATTCCCGATTATGCCTTCCAAGCAGGATTGAATCATTGGAGAATTTTTGTACGACACCTACATGTAGTCTGACTGTAGGCTAGTACATGTAGTAGTACTAGCTACAGCAGTCGCGAGTCGTACCATACCGACCCGCGGGGCGTTGCTCGAGTTCGCTCCCTGGAAAGTAAGTTTCAAACGTCACCTCCAGTAAAACAAAGCAAAATAAATAGCCAAAAGTGATTTCAACTCTGACCTCGCTCGCTTGCTAGCTGCAGCTCTGGTGCTTGTACATGGTGGTGCCAGTGCAGTGGTACGAGCCTGACAACAACTGACTTGACAAGAGCTCTGTCTGCACTGCAGTCTACACAGTACACTGCACCAGACTCCAGAGCGTAGCTTGCTGTACGGTGTATGTAGCCTGTACGCTGTAGGTCGGCAGGCCCCCTGCATGCAGGGGATACTGCACTGCTAGCCGTGGCGGCGTGAGGCGTGACTTGCCCTCACCAGAGTCGCCACCTGCCGGATCCGTGATGACCAGATGACAGCGGCAGCACTCGATCGTCTCTCAGGGTAGGTGCTTGACGCAGCCTTGTGTCTGTGAGTGTGACTGGCGAAGCTAGTGAGAGTGAGAGACTGAGCTAGATATAGACTACGAGTAGGCCAGACACTTTACTTCACGTTGTTTCCGACTACAAAGTCTGTTCAAGTCGTCCACCCTTGTAGGCACGTGGGGCCCTACTTATAAGCTAGCACAACTCCTAACAGATCGACGAGGACAGCTAAGCTGCCTTGGTTGGAGCCTAAATTGAAAAGGAGCAAACTAACCTACGACTGATTTATTAGAAAGGAAAACTTTGAATCGCGCCACCCGTATCCACAGATAAGCATCTTCCTACCAGCTACATGCATGCACTCCATATGTGGGGATCTAAATTATTTGAAACCTGTAAGTCTATATGCGGCAAATTTAGCGAAGCCAAAATGATATTTCCGACTTCTCGCATCGTCTCTATTTTTTTCACTTCGCTTGTTCCAAATGCGGACGCCTCGGATTGATCGTTTCTTCGTCTTGAACTAACTATTACTTCGTTCCAAATATATTCAGCCACTCGACACGGGAAAAGTGGAGACTTACTCGCGCGGCTTACTTGTTTACCATAGTCTAGACATTGCGGGCGGGCTGTTCACTCTCGACCTCGGTAGAGCTCACCGAATCACGTTCTCGACGAAGTCCGAAGTCACCGCAGTCTCACAAGGAGTCCTAGACTGAATCAGTGAATGTCAATGAACAAAACTACCCTTCGTAGAATCTGAAATCCAAAGGATTCTGCGGACGAAGAGTGCTGTGAAAACACGAAGATATATCAAGAGGACGAGCCGCACGGCGTACTACTAGACGGGTCGCGGGGCATGGGCATGGCAGGTGAAAACCACAAAAGCTGCGTCCTCACCTCCCGGCTCCCTGTCACTGTCCCGTACATGTATGTCGTCTACGCTACAGGTGGTGCAGCATTACATGGTCCATTGACATTACTCATTAGTATGTGACAATAAAGAATAGATGGTCATTATACACCCTGGTACACCCGGGTACCCCCCCCCCCCTCGCCGAGTGTGCAACTCCAGTCTCGACTCCCTGCATGATCCAGTGTATCGGTGCTAGCATGCTGTGACTGTCCTGACAGATGTTCAAGTTGACGTCATTTTTATGATGCAATGCGCACTATGCGTACATTGTACATAGCGCTGTATTGTTAGACGTAGTACAGTCAGACCTCGCATAACCGCACACATCCATTTTCCACCAAAAGGTATCCGGATAGCCGAGGGAACCGGATAGTCGAACACACATGCTGTATGACATGCATGACATACCGGTATGCGGTAAATCGGTAACCAACGATTTTCTTTTCTTCCGGATGGCGAGGGATCCGAACGAGAGAGCTTGGAAGCTCAGGGCCCTGCGCTATGCTTTTTTGCCTTGATGACCTAGACAAAAAAAGCATAGGGATGTTCTTAAATTCTTATAAATTTCTACTTTTTGTTTTTAGACATAACCTGGGATTCGAACCCGCACTATCGCCCTGCATGCATCCCCCGATACACTTCGCATACATACTAATTCATCCAAGTTGCTTCACGTTATGATCTTGTATTTGAAAGCCCTATTTGAATATGCACTGTGGCCAGCCGTCTTTGATTGTACGGTGCGGTACGGGAGAGGTACGGGACGGGTACGGTCGTGGGTAATACGACACCATCTACCGTCTTGATGACGGCAAAAAAAGAATAGGTATGTTATAAATTTTTCAATTTTCCTATTTTTTTAGGCATTACCTGGGATTCGAACCCGCACTATCGCCCTACATGCATTCCCCCATACACTTCGCATTCATACTCATTCTTCCAAGTTGCTTCACGTTATGATCTAGCGTTTGAAAACCCTATTTGAATATTGCGGCAGGCTGTGTGTGGCCAGCTGTGTTTGATGGTACGGTACGGGACAGATACGGGATAGCGCCAGGCGTGACACAAACACACAAACAAACACCAAATTAAAGCTGTGTGGACCCTGGCTAGCGCCAGTCGTTACTGAAGTAACGTCTTCTGCATAGCTAGGGGAATAAAAGACTGGATAAGCGAGGTCAGACTGTAGTAGGTCTAAACTTGTGGCTGTGGCGGACAACGCCCCATTTAATCTCATACAAACTACTCTACAAAGTTTCGGCCCATTCAAACTTCGGCCTCCCAGCCTCCCAGGGCTAAAACACATTTCGGCCGCATTAAATTTTCGCCCCATATTGCTGCTGCCTGTACCGTAAAATGCCGCCAGAGCGCCCCGTCTCTCCCATCCGCCCCTCCCTGACTTCTTGTCAGGGAAGTGATAGATTGTATCGTCGTATGACTCTGTGATGCCGTACTGTACTGCAGACGGGTGCTCGGACCCCGTTGGAAAAGTACGCAACAGTGCCCACCCTCTTGACAAGGGATTGCACAAACCATGAAGTTTGATGGGTCTGTACGACTCCTGGCTCTTGACCTTTGGTCGGTGTACGAGATGCATGAACAGTTTTCGTAGGGTGGGTACTTTTTCATGTAGCACTGAATGCGGTAAGTAGGACTCGCCCATCCGCCCCTCCCCACCTGGACCTACTCGAAGGGTAGAGGAGGTAGGGACGCTCTGGCGGGATTTTACGGTATACACTGTCACACTGAACCTTGCAAAACAAAATTTCAGCCAAATACATGTATAACCAGGCCGAAAATAAATACCGTACTTACCCAAATATAAGTCTTACACCTTTTTGCACTGAACTTCAAGAGTAAAGAAGGGGATGCGACTTACAATTGAGAGTGACATCCTACTTACATGCATGTATTGAAACAATGTGGTTCAAACCTCAAAGTGGGGGTGCCACTTATAATCGAGTGCGCCTTACAATCCAGGATAAAAATATACACAATCCAGCACATCGAGTCTGATCCTCTACGTTGTTCTACATCGTACTGCACTTGGCAGCCTTGATCTAATTCCCACCCCCTGCCGAAAATCCAGCTGGGAAGAGACATGGCGTGGGGGGGGGGGGGATCAACGGTACTTTACGGTACTAGTATGGGACAAGTTGTCCCTAGCCCCAGGAAGGTGACGGCCATGTTTTATGCATAAACCCCATTGTTGTACGTGGTGAAGGCGGGTACTGTGTGTGTTGCCAGTTGGAGGTTTGGAGATGTACTGGGAAAATGACAAGGCCACAATGGAACTTCAAAGTTCCTTGAAAATGCGCAAGAAAGTCTACACTTGGCCCCAATGAGCGGAAAAAGACTTTCTTGGCATTATCCCTACTCCAAACGCTGCCACTCATACCAACAACTTGCGCAACACGTCTGAACTCAACAAGTTAAAATCCTCACTTGTAAAACCGTGAAAGAGTTGAATAGTATAGAAAGTAAGAGTACATACGCACCCGATCAACGGGCTACCGGGAAGGAATATATCCACGACTTGCTGGCTCTGTATCAAGTGCTTTGACAATGGTCTCTGCGCACATCCATGAACACACACACATACACGTACATCAGCATACACACGAACACACGCGCGGACACACACAAACACATACACACACATATCTACGAACAAAGACAGCTCCAGCAGAGCAGCACTTTCCGGCATGGCCACAGGAGGTGGTGCAAATCGCCCGCACAGCGAGCTTCTAGCAGCAAAAGTAGCAACACACACAACACACACACACACCTCTCTCTCTCTCTCTCTCTCTCTCTCTCTCTCTCTCTCTCTCTCTCTCTCTCTCTCTCTCTCTCTCTCTCTCTCTCTCTCTCTCTCTCTCTCTCTCTCTCTCTCTCTCTCTCTCTCTCTCTCTCTCTCTCTCTCTCTCTCTCTCTCTCTCTCTCTCTCTCTCTCACACACACACACACACAAACACACGCACACGCGATCATCAGTTTTGCAGGTGATTGCTGAGCAGATCTTCGGCTGTCAGCGTAAAGTTACTTTTCTGCCAGAGTTTGCGCAGCGTACTGAGGTATGCGCCCATCGCCGGCCCATTCTTAATATTGTGCTTCTTCAGCATCGCTCCATTCACAGGCATGACGGGAATAGGCCAGTCGGCAATGGCCCTCGCCATGTCGGTACGTCCCTGGTACGCGAGCACCTCCTCAACGTGCGCCTTGCTGGCCGCCTGTGCGTCCGTCAGCATGTCCTGGTAGTGCTTCAGGTCGCCGTGGCGACTGCGATTGTCGGCCACGAACACCATCAGGGCGCGCTGCACGCGCGACAGCTTCCAGCGCTCGGCGAACGCGGCCATCAGCGTCTCCTCGTCGTGCAGCGCCAAGAGGAGCGAGACAAACGACAGCTTTCGGCCCTTAACTTCCGCAGCGCCGTCACCACCGCCGTATCCATGGTGAACTCGCCACACGCGTTCAAATTCGTCATGGCGACCGGGCACCGGCAAGCGTATTCTCTCCGCCACGCCGACGTCGTACATGGTGTGCAGCTCGCCGGGGGCGTTCGGTCCCGTCACCAGCGCCGCCATTTCCAAGCACACCCGCTCCACGGAGACCTGCTTAAGGCCGTCGCGCAGCTCGCGTATTGCGGTGATCGTGATCTCGTCGTGCACCAGTGGGTCCTTGGCTATGCGGCCGTGGAAACGAAAGTAGCGCAGAATGCGCAGATAGTCCTCTCGAATGCGCTTCACCGGGTCACCGACGAACTGCACGCGCCGATCCAGGATGTCCTGCTCGCCGCTGAAGTAATCATAGAGTGTGCCTTCCAGGGAAAGTGACATTGCGTTGATGGTCAAGTCTCGCCGCGCCGCGTCCTGCTGCCAATCGGTGGTGAACTTCACCGTGGCGTGCCGACCGTCCGTCTCCTGGTCAACTCGCAGTGACGTAATCTCCACGTTCTGACCTCTCTCCGTCACCACCGTGATCGTACCGTGCTTCAGACCCGTGGCGATCGTGCGAAACCCACTCGATTCACACAGGTCGAACATGGCCTCAGGTAGCATTGTCGTTGCCAAATCCACGTCCTTGGGTGCTCGGTCCATCAGCAAGTCGCGTACTGCTCCACCGACCAGGCGAACTTCATGGCCTTCACCTGTGTCGCTGCGTTTGACCGACTGTATCAAGTCGGCGATTCGCATCACATCGTCTGTGAGAATCGTGTCGAAGTTCTCACTTTTCAATTTGCCCGTCGCCATAATGGGCAAGATGTGCTTGCAGCGGGTGGCGACTCCACGCCTGAAGAGACAACTCCTTGCCAATCTTAGGCACGCAGGGAGATATATCGGCATCGGCTTCTCAGAAGTCAGATCATCAAGTTGGGATTTGCAGAATGGCAAGCTTGTTTCAAAAGCAATTACAGTATTTTGTCAAATCATTCTGATGCTCACTGATTGGACCATCATGACAGGCCAAGCGGAGTCATGCCACTCATGCATGCACAGTCGATGCGCCAGATTTGAAAAATCACGTCGGAACACAGAGTTCTATTTTTCAGATGCACCCTTTTTGGGCACTTTTCTCAAGGCATTCTCAACATACGATCGTTTTCATGTATGTACGTGCTTGCCAGTCTCACGCTTTCTCGGAGTTAGTCGTCACACTCGAGGATTCAGTAGTCGCCTTTCACCTTTTTCTGTTATGAGTTCTTCAAGAACGACGAAATTCTGTAGTTTGGTGTCGCTACACGTCGGTTTGTCTCTTTTCCTTTTTTCGTCGAAATTTCGTCGCCCGAACTATAATTTCGTGCCACCGAATTAACCAGGCATTTCGCTGCTTCTATGCTGGACGTATCGAAAGAGTAAGTCTTTGTGACATTGGAGCGGAAGTTATGTTCTGGCCGAAAAAAGGGCATGCCTCTGGTGACGTGATTTCTAACTAGTGTTTTTACGTATATTTTCCATGCATGTGTGCACAGATGTCAGCGGCAGGAAGACCCAGCAATGCCACAACTGGCACAAGCATACATACTTGACGACCACGTGGCCCAGAATGAAGCATTTGCTCCAAAGTGCCATCTGACAAGCGATTTACACATGGCTCAATGCTGTCAGATTGGCAAAATTGGCAAAAGCTACACACATGCACATCCATCACGTCAGACCAATGCATTTATTGCAAGTGCGTCAAAGCACTACGACGCAGTACCGAGAGAGTAGTATCATTCTCACAGTGCCGAGAGACCGAGAAAATAATAGAGAGAATAGAAATTCAAAAAATAATAATTCCAAAAACATGCAACCATGGCAGCAGCAAGAGAATATCGGCATGGCGAAGGTGCAAATAAGGAAATGCAGCGCCAGCGCTCTTGATCCAGAAAAATATACTGATCATTCCAAAAAAAAAGTGGGGTTCAAATATCTAACTAAACGCCGCAAATGGGTGACAATATCAGGAAATCTTTGTGTGAGAATAAAGAATACTATCTACCAGTACATGGTACATGGTACTGGTAGATAAAAGATAGTAATAACAATGTCCGATTATCTTCTTGTTCCGCCCCAGGGCAAAATAGAATAAAAAGTTTGACCCAACCGAATGACGGCTGGGAGAAACTTTTCGAAAAGAGCACCAATTGTCTAATGGGAAGCAGATTCAGAGTAACAGTGTAAGAAAGTCTAGAGAATCTAGACTTCTGGAATAGGAGACTAACAAGAACAACGTCCCCTGAGCCTCACTGGACGGTTGCCAGAGATTTCTATTGTGGGATACGCGACGCACACATTTCTGCAGCAAGGTCATCAGGTCACACCTACCACGGGACATGGCTAGAGAGAAACCAACCGTCGAAACACTGATTCAGGAATGCCCGGCGGCGCTAGCCACGACATACGATTCATTTTGTGCGTGCTTCCCTAGCTGCAGCCGCCATCACGGTTCGGCATTAAATTAATAAAAAGAATATCCTAATGAAAGCTACAGTCAGTAAGTACCTGATAACAATAGACAGCCGCTATGGCTGGCAGGCAGGCACCACAACCAACACTGAATCACCGATCAGACAACACGTGCAGCGGGTGATGTCGACGTCTTGGGATAGTTCGGAGAGTAGGTTTGCCCCTTCACTCTCCGCATCAGCTGGCCATTCTGCACCCAGACGGGACCGCGCTGCTCCTGCACGAACTGATCGACAAGACGCTCTCTCCAGGTTTTCAGCTCGGTCTGATAGTCGGCCACCGCAGCTAGGTCGTGGTACTCGGCTGAATCGGCGGTCAGGTTGAACAGCTGTTCAGTGGCGGAGTAAGCATTGAAGATGTACTGTACTCGCAAAGCAGCAGATGGACGTACATACAGACAGACGGCCGGACGGACAGACATATGGACGGATGGACGAACATACGGCAGACAGACAAACAGACAGACAGAATCAAACAGTCAGTCACACAGACAGACAGATGGACATACATTACATACACTACACATACACACACATACTGAGTTTTGTACTCGCTCACTGCGAGAAACTGGTCATGTGTGGCTCCCCCAAAGAGGGGAGAGCGATTGAAAAGACGGTCCGAAAAGATGACTCTACTAAAGTGCTGGCAACTGAAATGCGCCCTTTGGAAGTGCTCTCACGTTGCAAAGACCCAGCATGGGATTGTAACACTATGAAATAGAGACGGCTAGAATCGGTACTGCACTCGAGTACGAGAATCAGGGGTCGGATTTCAGTTGCCAGCACTGTCAGCACCACACTGATCTTGGATGGGGAGACTTCGCGACCATCTGGCTAGACACACACACACGCACACACACACACACACACACACACACACACACACACACACACACACAAACATTGATCTCACCTTCATCTTGCCGTCCGTTAGAGAGTTCCAGTGATTAGTGACATTGTAGCAGATGTCATGTTCCATGTCAATCCACTGTCGCCATGGTGCTGCAGTTGCCATGCCATCACTGTTTGCCGGTGATGCTCGTAGCAAGGCGAGAACACTAGCACCGTCCACTTTCAGGCCGGCACTTTCCAGTGAGTGCCCGCTCGCCTGCACGTGTACACACGCACATGTACACGCGCGCGCACACACACACACACACACACACACACACACACACACACACACACACACACACACACACACATGTGCACATGAGTACAGACATGCGCACATATGCCCCCCCCCCACACACACATACGTACACAAACAAACACATGTGCGCGCACACACACATACACACCCGTACAGACACACAGGTACACACACACACACAAACACACACATACACACACACACACATACACACATATACATACACACACTGATCATGTCAACTCACCTCGGCAAATGTTGGGAAGATGTCGCGCAGTTCCACAACCTTATCGCTACGGGAACCACGATCGGCGACAACTGGTCCTCCGTTGGCAGGGCTGAGGTTTTTGTTTGGCCATCGGATGATAAAAGGGACATGTGCTGATCCTTCATACGGGTATCTGGGGAAAGACAAGAAGAGGATGCAATGGACAGTTGATTATTGGAATTAAAGTCAGACCTCGCTTATCCAGTCCTCTTTTATCCGGATGCCTCGTCATCCGCAAGAAAATCATTGGTTACCGATTTACAGCATATGCCATGCATACAGTGTGTGTGTTCGATTATCCGGTTCCCTCGCCCATCTGGATATTTTTGTGGAAAACGGATGTGTGCGGTTAAAAGCGAGGTCTGACTGTAATAGGACTTGGAGACTGAGCCAGCAATGGAGTAAAACCTGTCACAGAGTTCTTGCCAGGTCAAAATAGTAGGGGGGGGGGGGGCATGGGAAACACTTACCCCGTATCCCATTTTTCCACTACGTATCCAATATTGTCTTGCCACGCTAAATGCAACGTATGGGCGAGTCCCCGACTTCTCCCCAGACAAATGTGCCTTTATGAACCATCTAATAGTGACTTTCGACTGCGTTTTCGTTGAATTGCATGAACAAAACGAAAATCGGAAAATCGCAAAATCGGAAAATGAGTAGGGGGAGGGGCACTTTTTCACGGGGGGGGGGGGGCACTTTTTCACAGGGAGAGGGGCGCAAAGAGAGTATGGGTGCTGCCCCCCCCCCCCCACACACTTTGGCTAGAACCCTGCTGTCAAGACGACCACTGCTCTTGCACAATGGCCACACTGCAGAGAGTGCTGTCCCAAACATTCACAGCGGTGCTTGACCAAAGGGTGCCACATGGTGTGGATAACAGGTTATCATACGTGGCATACAATGTCGTGTCAATGGCGATGTCATACATGATGTCATACATGTCAATGGCGATGTCATACATACCCCTTTCTGTAATGGTAGTGGTCACCCAACATGTCTCCATGGTCAGCTGTGAAGATGATCTGTACCCGGCACAATGTATAGGGAGAGAGAGAGAGAGAGAGAGAGAGAGAGAGAGAGAGAGAGAGAGAGAGAGAGAGAGAGAGAGAGAGAGAGAGAGAGAGAGAGAGAGAGAGAGAGAGAGAGAGAGAGAGAGAGAGGGAGGGAGGGAGGGAGGGAGGGAGGGAGAGGGAGAGGGAGAGGGAGAGGGAGAGGGAGAGAGAGAGAGAGAGCAGGATGCGCATTCACAAACTCGCACAGACAGCCACACCGGCATACGTGCAAACACGCGTGCACACAACAGAATCGGCAGCAAATGTTGTAAGCCAGTCTGCAGTCTCACTTTCTCGGGGGGATCAAGAATCACATCTGTTATTTTCAGAATAGATTGCATTGCATGACATTTTTGGAATGCACTTCAAGGTCGAAAAAGAAGAAGGGGGGGGGGCAGCTTTCAATCGAGCGTGACGTATTACCCATGTGCGCACACTGAAACCATACCACAGAGACCTGCAAGCAGCCCGGTGACTTAGAATCACCTATACACCCATAGCAAAGAGGACCAAGGATCTACAAGTTACGCTATAATGTCCTCTAACGCCACCAGTTACTTGGTCTATAGGAGAGAAAAAGGACCGAGGAACTACAAGTTACGCTATAATGTCCACTAATGGGCCATTCACACTACGCCCAAAACGTGGCGTACGTGACGTTTTCGTCCGGATAGCCATGACAACACGGAACGTGGCGGGAAAATCGTACCCCTGATACGAAAACGTAGACGACGTATCCAGACCCCTGTACCGAGTTTCGTTCTGTCGCTCCTGGCAGTTGGTGTCCAAGAGAAGCTGTACACACAGCTGTACGAGCACCGTGTGCGCGCCTGTGTGAATGCACCTGCATGAAAACGACGTCTGCCAGTACGTCGTATTCCAAAACGTGACGCGTATTGTAACGTAATATGAATACCGGTAGCCTATAACACCACCAGTTACTTGGTTAACAGTTTCCTCTGAGACAAAAATGCGATAATACTCATAAAGAGGACACACTTCAGGCTCTTTACGAACATCTTGAAAGTTTTTGGTTTCACAAGTATACTTTCAAGCCTTCTCATAAGGTGAAATACAGGCAAGGGAAAAGGAACAGGAACAGTGGATTAAATACAGTAAGAAGGTGGTAAAACAGCGCAAAGAAGAAGATAGCTAAATTAAAGGGGAAGTTAAGGCAAAAATTAAAATTTCACCAGTTGTAGTCTTCGGGGTGCTGAGTCGAATGGTCTTGGTCCGAGGAAGCTGAGACGCTCCCTTCCTACTTGAATCCCAATCGAACTCGCGCACTTCCACCGAAACTGGGTGACTGCGCCCTACTAGATGGGGATTTGTATGCAAAATGTCACTAAAAGCGCCATTTCGTTCTTATAAAAGCACGGATGACCGCGATTGGCCCATATGTTGTAGTCTTTTGGACGCTGAGTCGACTGGTTTTGGTCCGAAAAGGCTGCGATGCAGCGTTCCTCCTTTATTCCCAATCGAACATGGTTGAAGAAGTGGTCACGTGGTCCTGGGTGCCCAAATCACCTGGTCACCACGCCAGCAGGTGACAACTTTCACACCAAGGTTCAACTCGAGTTCAACTCGAGTGACAGGTCTGCACCCAAAAAAGGTCAAACAGGCTAGTAAGTTGTACCCTGCAGGCACGGTGACCAGCTGACTGGTGTACGCAGGAGCACGTGACCGCTTGTTCAACCATGTTCGATTGGGAATAAAGGAGGAACGCTGCATCGCAGCCTTTTCGGACCAAAACCAGTCGACTCAGCGTCCAAAAGACTACAACATATGGGCCAATCGCGGTCATCCGTGCTTTTATAAGAACGAAATGGCGCTTTTAGTGACATTTTGCATACAAATCCCCATCTAGTAGGGCGCAGTCACCCAGTTTCGGTGGAAGTGCGCGAGTTCGATTGGGATTCAAGTAGGAAGGGAGCGTCTCAGCTTCCTCGGACCACGACCATTCGACTCAGCACCCCGAAGACTACAACTGGTGAAATTTTAATTTTTGCCTTAACTTCCCCTTTAAACAGCGAAAATGCGTGACCTACCGTATTTTTCCGGTTGTAAGTCGACCTTTTACGACTTAAAATTGAAGGAGAAAGGGTGGGGGTCGACTTACAACCGGGATTCGACTTATAACCGGGAACTATCAGTATCTTACAAAAAATGACCTGCACTGCATGCACGAGTGCGCCATGTTTATACATTTTTGCCAGTTTATTGGCCTTTTTCAAAGATTGGGACGTTATATCCTCCAATAAGGAATGTTTACATGATGTGTTGATGTGTTAGTAGCAGGAGGTGGTTAGCAGTGCTTCTTTGGGTGAAAACTTTAAAACGCAGAATTGAGACCTCCAGATAGGGGGGGGGGGGGGGTCGACTTATAACCGAGGTCGACTTACAACCGGTAAAATACGGTATACACATAGCAATAATGGCACAAAGGTGCAAGTGCGAGAAAACTCAATAAGCGTGATATGTAATGCTATGTGTATAGGTCACGCATTTTCACTGTTTACTTTAGCTATCTTCTTCTTTGCGCTGTTTTACCACCTCCTTACTGTACTTAATCCACTGTTCCTGTTCCTTTTCCCTTGCCTGTATTTCACCTGATGAGAAGGCTTGAAAGTATACTTGTGAAACCAAACACTTTCAAGATGTTCGTAAAGAGCCTGAAGTGTGTCCTTTTTATGAGTATAGTTACTTGGTTCTTTTCCTTTTCTATAAATTATATTTTTTCCTTGGCTCTCCATCCGAGTCCATTCTTATACTGTGACACACACATCTCGTGTGTCCGGGCGGTCCGGGACCGGGCGGCACTGTCCGTGACTTTGAAATGTCCGCAACTCCGAATCACATACATTTGGATGGGGGGGGGGGGGGAGGCCATAGACACAGCATGTGATGTCACTATTGCCAATAAAGTAACAAAAGAGTAGTAACATTTCCACTAAAACTAGCCCAAATGATGGCCGGTAGACCAAAGAGCCCGCAACTTTGGAGTACGGATATATTCACCTGTACTCCGTCCCTAGTTGTATGGTGTCTCCAGCTGCAACTCGTTGGCTCGAAAAGAAGCGCGGTTTCTATTCAATTTGTGCTTCTGTGTCAGCGTGCGCTTCGAAAAATCGGCTTCTATTCGAGCAATGCTTCTATCCGGGTCACGCTTTGAAGTACACGTGGCATTACTTGGTAACAGTGGTAACAGTGGTAACAGTGGTAACAGTGGTAACAGTGGTAACAGTGGTAGCAGTGGTAACAGTGGTAACAGTGGTAACAGTGGTAACAGTGGTAACAGTGGTAACAGTGGTAGCAGTGGTAGCAGTGGTAACAGTGGTAACAGTGGTAACAGTGGTAACAGTGGTAACAGTGGTAACAGTGGTAGCAGTGGTAACAGTGGTAACAGTGGTAACAGTGGTAACAGTGGTAACAGTGGTAACAGTGGTAACAGTGGTAGCAGTGGTAACAGTGGTAACAGTGGTAACAGTGGTAACAGTGGTAACAGTGGTAGCAGTGGTAACAGTGGTAGCAGTGGTAAC